AATGTAGCTAAAGTGCGCTTTGATTTATGATGAACCACTCGTGGTGAATGTAGTTGAGAAAACTATTTAGAGTGAAATGGGATACTGAGAAACTAAAAGTAGTAATTAAGGATGAAAATATGTTAAGCATGGTATATGCTGAGTAAGATGAATTTGTTAAGAAACTTTGAATATTGCGAAAACTAGACACAGTAATACTAAAGCGTTCAACACTGAAACTTAGTTAAGGCAAACTTGGACTATTTACTCACCAATACATGATTAGTGACATTATTTTTCGGTTTGCACAATTACTGAACATTTATTGAACTAAACTACAATTGTTCCCAGTGCTCTAAAATCACATTACACCATGCTACTTACTGTACTACAAATTATTAAGGACTGTTACTACTTTTGTTTGCATTAAAAAAACAACTTTTTATTCAGCTTTTACTATGAACATTGAAATCATTAGGAAAGAAACATGAAGCAGTAAAAGTTTTTAAGTGATTCATGGGAATTAATGAACAATGAACACACATATCTCTCTCTTTCTTTTGAAAGATTTTATACAATAGTAAGTCAGTTCAATTATTTCAACTAGGTTTCTTCATTTCTATATGGAAATCATTTTAATTCTCACGAAATTTCATTCCAAAAATAATTCACTAACAATATGTTTATATTGTGAATAAAATATCTAATTCATTCAAAGTCATTTAATTACTTTAATTAATCAACTTAACTTGTCCATGACATTAATTTTCCATTGGAATAGAGAACATAATTGTTTACAGTAGAAATATATGTATGGAAGAAATAAACAATCAAAGATTATTTTCAATTAGAGTTATAAAGAGATTAGTGTTCTCCTACACATTTGAAATCATCAATCAGTTATTGTTAGACCACCATTAGAAACATGGAAGCACTGATACACGGCCGTTTCGTCCTGGTGTGGGAACACTGATTGACATTAACACCGTTAAATGCCGGCCCAGTGGTTCAATGGTTCCGCGTTCGAATCCTGCGGGATGCAGGAGTCGTGGATGTGCACTGCCAATGATGAGTCCCATACCAGGACAAAACGGCCATCTTTCAGTACTTTCAGGTTTCTAATGGTGGTCTAACAATGATTGATTGATGATTTTAAATGTGTAGAAACACTAATCTCCATAACTCTAATTGAAAATATCGTAAAATGTGCTCATTAGTGATTAGCTTCGTGACGAAATTCTCGGAGTTCTAGTGAGAAGACGTGACCAGTGGAGTTCAACCCTGTCGGGTGTAGGTAGTAACTACCAAAGACAAATGGGTGAGGTCGCGCAAAATCCCTAGATCAATTTATCCCAGTTTATCAACATGAAGCAGTTAGCTCAACTTAGCCTTGATTCATTCTAATTTCAGAATATGCTATGAATGTCCCTCTCTGCGCATTTGTTTAAACTATGATTGATGAAAGTGTATTTTCAAACTGAATTTATTAGTTTCAAGGTGAGTGTTTAGAGAAGTAAGACAAAATAATTTCAATGAAAAGAGAATAAACTGACTTATATAACGGAATCATTGGATGCGTTTTTTATCTACTGTATTATATAATCTGAGTAAATGGTAATCGAATTTAAATTGCCACAGGAAACGCCAACGGTGCACTATACAGAGAGCAGAGCACGTTAGAACCACACACACACACACACATTTCATGACTAAATTATAAAACTAGAGTAAGCGATACACAATATTTCATTCTACACGATTACAAACTGTCATATAAAATGAGTTTAGAGTAGAAATCAATAGGAGGAATTATATCCCATTTAATAGTCAGTAGGCTGTGCTTGTTTATCCATGCTCTAACACTAATCCCGTTATCTTTTCACTACCACACATCACTGATATTAATGCGATGAAAAAAGAAGAATGAAATAGCCAGAGAAGGCATGTTTGATATCCATTTTAGTTATAAAGACTAACAATAAGAGGTTGCGTGAACTGTTGAACATCAACTATCCAGTGACTTCAGATTGTCTAGCTTAGACTGCTTCGCGATTTCAATGATTTAAATTACGATTATCTGTCTTTGGAATAGACAAATAATCGAAATCGAAAAAGCGAAATTCTCCGATGCAACATAACATGCATCAACCAAATCACTCTTGATGGAGATGCCTTGGAAGACGTTAACACCTTTACATATCTTGGCAGTATCATCGACAACCAATGTGGATCCGATGCAGATGTGAGGGCGCGAATTGGCGAAACAAGAGCTACATTTCTACAATTGAAAAATATCTGGAACTCAAAACAACTTTCAACCAAAACAAAAATCACTATTTTCAATACAAATGTGAAGACAGTTCTACTTTGTCGAGAGGAAACTTGCAGAACTACGTAAATCATCATCCACAAGATACAACTGTTTATTAATAGATGTCTTCGCAAAATACTTTGGATTCGTTGGCCAGACACCATCAGTAACAACTTACTTTGGGAGAGAACAAACAAGATTCCAGTGGAAGAGGATATCAGGAAGAAGCGGTGTAGGTGGATAGGACATACACTACGAAAAGTACCTAACCGCGTCACGAGACAAGCCCTCACATGGAATCCTCAAGGTGAAAGGAAAAGAGGAAGGTGAAGGAACACATTACGTCGAGAAATAGAGAAAGATAGGAGAAGAATGAACAAAAATTGGACAGAACTGGAGGAGGAAGCCTAGGACAGAGTTGGTTGGAGAAAACTGGTGGGCGGCCTATGCTCCATTGGGGGTAACAAGTGAAAGTAAGTCAGTAAGTAAGTCTTTGGAATAGAACATTTATCTTGAAGAAAAACTCCCTTTCCGATTCATCTATTTCCTAAAGTTGTACAATCGTATATATAAATATTAGCCTAATATACTCTGAATATCAGTTTCGTTTTATGTTGATAGCTTTTAGTAATGCTCAAATGTCTCACATTCGGCTGTTAGTTCTAAAATCAAATCAAAGCAACTCATATACTCTTCAGTAAGTGTGGAAAACTAAGCGAACGGTTAGAAGTAGTCACATTGTTCTATTGTTTTTTACGGACGATATTTTGGAAATAAAATCACAGATTATGAACAATGGACACTGGGATTTTTCATCGCAGTGCACATATCCATATTTATATCAATTGCCTTAACTTTGATATTCAGTAAAGACATAATTTCAATAGGGGGAAATTCATGATTGTATTAGTAAATCACTTGGCAAAATACTTATTATTTTAATACAATAAATTTCTGTTTTAAAAAATAAAGTAAAATTTACAAAACATGCTATTTTATTTTTATATCTCTGCATCAGCTATAAATAGATTGACGTACCAGAGTTAAGTAACAGTTAAGTAATCAATATACACAATGTACAATAATAGACAATGAGAAGATTAGATAAAACTGGCTGAAATAATAAACTTGCAGACTATTTCTCCGATAAGTAGTTAAAATTTTCAAAAATTTATCTTCGGGTTAGATGTATAACTAATGGGTGTATTAGTCTGCAATAATAACCAGGATGAAATATTGTCTATAGAATAAAATAATGATATTTTGGGACAGAGTTTTGGAGTTTTGTGTTTTTACACATTTGAAATGATCAATCAATCATTGTTAGACCACCATTAGAAACCTGAAAGCACTGGACTACCGTTTCGTCCTGGACGCGCACTGCTGATGATTCCCATACCAGGACGAAGCGGCTGTGTTTCTGTGCTTCCATGTTTCTAATGGTGGTCTGACAATGATTGGTTGATGATTTCAAATGTGTAAAAATAATGATAGTCAAAAAGATAATCAACATAGATAATAACCAATAGTACTGCATTTATAGTAATATTTTCTTATTGAAATCATGAATCAATCATTGTTAGATCACCATTAGAAACCTTGAAGCAATGGATGGTCGTTTCGTTTCGGTATAAGACGTGACTAGTGGAGCTCAACCCTGTCAGGTGTAGGCAGTAACTACCGAAGACAGCGGGTGGGGTTGCGCAAAACCTTTGATCAGGAGTAGACATTAACGCTGTTGGGTGCCGGTGCTGGTCGAGAGGTTGAGCGTTCTCGCTCAAGACCGCAGGTCGTCAGTTTGAGTACTGCAAGTTGCAGGAGTCGTGATGCCCACCTCCCATACAGAACGAAACAGCTTTCCAAAGCTTCCAGGCTTGTAATGGTGATCTAACAATGACTGATTCACTACTTCAGTTATAAATAACAATCTTCATAACTTTATGATGAAAAATAGTGATACTTTTACAGCCAATTTGACTCTAAATTAAGATATGTGCTTCAATCGCTAATTATTCATGATGATTGATCATAATTTTAATTTTATTTTTAATTAAGATTCTACTTTGTAACCATATTTACAATTCTTCATTTAAAATGAGAACTTTCCAAGACAGAAACGAAGTGTAATGGAACACTTTTACGAAGAAAACGCAATTGGTGAAAAAAAACAAATATTTATTATTGTGCTGGTTTTGTTTAACTGTACCCAAAACACTTTCTTGCGCTCAACGTTCTGTTCACATTGCTGCCATTTTTCATAACGTGCTACTCTCTCTATGTAATGCCTACTTTCTCCTGCAATAAATTTTCAAACATGGATTTACTTCTATGGGACAGGATGGAACATTTATTTAGTGGTGATCATAGTCATTGTCGACTTGGTCAGCATTAAAGAAGTTAACCACAACTTAATATGCTGTTATCGATTCTCTCTGAAAACTAATTATTGTTCAATAAGATTCACGGAACAAAAGTGATGGCTTTATGGAATTTTATTTTATTTTATTTTTTTTCAAAGTAATTATTAAGCATTATTCTGAAATATTATTGTAAATGTAAGAAAATTAACCAAAATATTCATTAAATATTTTCATTTATATTATCAATAGAGAAAAAACAATAATACACAACAACACCACTACCTACTTGTTTTGACAACAATTAGACGAAATCATAACAAATAGAAAAAAATCAGTATTTTCACAAGATGAATAATTAATTGAACACAGAATACAGCTTCGATTGTTTTCATTAATGACAATAATGAATGACCATTGTGTGTAGACTCGATCATTTAATCCAATGATAGGAACATTCACTTGCACTCAATATATATTAATAAAATTGGTTATAATGACATTCGGATTGTTTAACTGCTAAGCGAAGATAATCCTTTAATTCGTGTTACATTTGACACGGAATAACGATGTTTATTAGAATATTTAATAATTAAAAAACCATTTTCATTAATAACCGACGAGATTTTATTTGTATGACATGATGATAACAATAATTGTTTAGTACGATCACGAAATTTTTTACCAGCTAAACAATAAAATATCCAATTAGTACATGTATTCAATAAGCAAAAACTACGAAATAAATAATATAAAAATCTATGCATATGATTATCAATATGATCTATAATAAAATTTAAATATAAAAAATATATAAGCAATGGGCATACACTAGCCATATAAACAAAATTCATACACAGCAGTATTGGTGTTACATGTGTATGACTACTATCTTGTGTGATAACATGTCTACGTTTTACATTGAATTCACCGGTTACAACAGGAAAATCATTGATGGAACGAATTGTTGGATTGTCATTAGTATCATGATTATTATTTGTACTAGATATATTTTCTTGATTTAATGCTTGACTTTCGGAAAGAGATAATTTCTTCTCTGTGAGTTGCGCTTGTATTTCCAAATCTTCTGGATCACTGGTTGTTTCCATTTTATGCGAGGAATGATAATAATAATTATTATTATTAGTGTGTTGATTACACTTTACATTTGATTGAGTACTTGCTGTTGTTGCTGTTGTTTTATGCGTAAATTTACGTCTTAACAAAAGATTACGACATATAACCCCGGTACACGTGGTCATCACTAATACTGGTATAAATCCCCAAAAAATTAAATCACATAAAGTTGTAAGGAGAAATATTTTCTCATTTATTGGATCACAATCATTATTAATCACTTGCCAATACAATGGATATGGTAGGATAGGTAAAATCAATAGCATCGATATGATGCCTTGATAAATGCCAAGTTTTGATAATGATATCCACTTGGATTTTACTTGCAATGGATACAACACTAGATAACATCGTTGCACTGACAGCATACATTGCATATAAGCAGACCAATAAAATAAATAATTTGATGAACTTGTATGTAAAATACACAACCAATTATTATAATCACGTATATCAATTTTAAACCAAATTTTCAATAACATCCATATACCTTCAGTGAGTAAGATGAGAAAATCACCGACACAAATACTTATTAACCATATTAGTAAATTAGCTGTAAACATTTTTGAACGTATTAAAAATAATAAACAAAATATTGAACCGAAAAATCCAAGTGTAATCACAGTTGGTAAATACCAGACGAGGAAGTATTTACATAAATTATCATATAATAATGTGCTGGTGGTGTCGGTGGTAGATTTGGATTTTTCTTGTTGAAAAAAATGATAATCTGAAATCAAACTGGCATTCATTGTGGATGATGATGATGATGATTACATTCCGATTTAGTTGGTTCTTGGAATTATTATTTTTGTTGTTAATGGTGTTTATGCGATAGACATTCTGTTGACTTTTAAATAATGTACAACAGGAAATTGTGCATGAAATGCATGATTTACTGATGAATTCTGTTCAAATTCGATTCATATGGTAGTAGTAGTAGTAGTAGTAGTAGTATACTACTGAGAAGAAAATAAATGGTTTTTCGCTTATTTATCGAATTTTCAGTTAATAGAATCGAGTAGATTTTGTCAAACGGTTTTTAATTTGACCATATCTGGCCAATGAGATTCATTATAAATAACACTGTAAAACTATTGGATTATCTTACTATCTCATTAAAAAAAAGTGATGAGATTTCTAAAAAACAACATGAATTAACCCCTGTTATTAGTTACAGTGATACTATATAACTAGGCGGACGAGTAGCGGCGTTTTATGTAAATTTACTCAAGTAACAGCTATCTTCAAAAAATCGATTGAGAAAATGTTAAAACTTAAGGCGCAAATAGCGATATATCTGTGGAAGTTATTAAGTCATTATACTGGTTCACGAAGATATGTCCTACTATTTCATTTCTTGAACACTCTTGTTTAGTATATTAAATGCGTTACTTACTTACTTACTTACATACGCCTCTTACCCCCAATCGAGCATAGGCCACAAACCAGTTGTCTCCAACCAACTCTGTCCTGGGCTTCCGTCTCCAGTTCTGTCCAATGTTTGTTCATTCCACTCATATCTTTCTCTATTTCTCGGCGTAATAAGTTCCTTCACCTTCCTCTTTTCCTTTCACCTTGAGGGTTCCGTGTGAGGGTTTGTCTTGTGACACAGTTCAGTGCTTGTTGTAATGTATGTCCTATCCACTTCCACCGCTTATTCCTCATTTCCTCCTCAACTCGAATCTGGTTTGTTCTTTCTCACCGTACGTTGTTACTTAAGGTGTCTGGCCAACGAATACGAAGTACTTTGCGTAGACAACTGTTAATAAACACTTGTATCTTCTGGATGATGGCTTTGGTAGTTCTGCAAGTTTCCTCTCCATACAGTAGAACTGTCTTCACATTTGTATTGAAAATCCTGATTTTGGTATTGATTGAAAGTTGTTTGGAGTTCCAGATATTTTTCAACTGTAGAAATGCAGCCCTTGCTTTGCCAATCCGCGTCCTCACATCTGCATCGGATGCACCTTCATTGTCAATGATGCTGCCCAGATATGTGAAGGTGTTGACGTCCTCCAAGGCATCTCCATCAAGAGTGATTTGGTTTGTGCATGTTGTGTTGCATCGGAGAATTTCGCTTTTTCCTTTATGTATGTTGAGACCTACTGCTGCAGAGGCTGCTGCTACACTAGTCGTCTTCTCTTTCATTTGTTGTTGCGTGTGCGATAGAAGAGCCAAGTCATCTGCGAAGTCCAGATCGTCGAGCTGCGTCCTAACTGTCCAGCTGATACCATGCCTCCCTCCAGATGTCGAAGTCTTCATAATCCAGTCAATGACCAGGAGAAAGAGAAAGGGTGAGAGTAAGCAACCTTGCCTCACACCGGTCTTCACCTCAAAAGAGTCTGTCAGCTGACCTCCGTGCACGACTTTGCAGATGAATCCATCATAAGAATTCCGTATGATGTTAACTATTTTCTCAGTCACACTGTAGTGTCGAAGAAGCCTCCACAGTGTTTTCCTATCCACGCTATCAATATTAAACGCGTTATTTTCAAGTAACTCTGTAATTCATTCATATTCGGCAGTATTCAACTTTCGAATTAGTCAGTATTAGTCCCAATAACATTTCGATGAATCATAAGGTTTTGTTTAAGTTAATTAATGAATATAGGTTGTTGAACAATAAAACTTCAAAATGATACGATCCATTTGTTTAAATGAACAACAGATTATAGTATGACGTACGAATTTTTAAAAATTTCTGAGATAAAAAAATTCACCACCAGTTAAAGAAGACATAGTTAAAGCTCTCCAAATCTAAACTGAGAATATTTTGAGTGAGAGTTTATAGTTCGCGTACTGACTGGGTTTACTGAAATATTTTCAGTCATATCAGGTAACAGTGTAGTCAAGGAAAACACTGGTGAGGGCAACCGAATTGTATTTAGCGAAAATTACAGAGTTACTCAGTAAAATAGGAAAACAATATCGTAAACGGTTAATTTGCAAATCTTCAATCCATCATCAATCCATTGTCTGACATTTCACTATTCATGCATTTCATACAAATTCCATTGTGTTCCCACTCTTCCTTTCTTGATCTTCCCCCATCTTCTACTTCCAGACATTACGTTTACACTCACGTCATATACTACTTATAAGTAGCGTGCACCACAACAGGAACACAGTATACAGCATCTGTTTACAAGTGTGCATCCTTCTGTTGAATACATCATCTTCAAGTTTACTCTTTCGTTGGTTATCAATGAATATTTTAATGAAACAAAACAACCTAGATTTAAAAAGACGTACGTTGATGACAGTGATTGCAAACAACATAGCATCATAAAATATTTAGGAAGCCGGAAAAGCAAACAACTAAATGACAACTTAATCTTAATGGATACTTACCTACTCCAAAGCCATATCATTACATAGGTTTAATTTGTATTGTGTCTTGAAAGGCCTAGAACATAATAGTTTTAAACTGCAAATAAATGAATATTCATTGATTATTGATTCTAAAAGGCTTGATAACTGAATGTGTCTTTTTTTAGGTGGAAATCTATATGGTTTATAATTCATCTATGCTAAAATTCAATCTACAGGTCAATCAATGTGAAATAAAAAACAGAATATTGATGAAAGTTAGTGAATAAAATGAATTCAGCGCATTCCATCTTGTTTCATTAAAATACCAAGATTTATGTTTAATTAATTATTACAAATCATAGAATGTGGTGTATTCTATTCGCAGTGTAGGCAGAAAACAGTAGTGTCTCTCAGAAGTAGTTATTGCTGAAGAGAAGAGTGTTGGATCCAAATGTGTAGTATGATCAATTTGTTATTTGGAAGACCAGAAGCATGTAAAAGAAGACTGCCGATGATCAGTTTGTTTTAAGAATAGCAGTGTGAATATAAAGTGTACACATTTTCCTTTTGAAACTATGTCTTATTTTAATAAATCACTGGCCTCAATGTCTTCATTGATTACAAGAGGAATAAACTTTTTATCTAAGTTTCAGGAATGTGGTTTAAGAAAACAGATAGTAGTTTGAATTGAAAATCAATCAGATTATTACTTGTTTTTTTTGAGGTTGGATGATAAAAAAAAGCCAGAAATTTTTGACTGAGTAAAAATGTGGTTTCCCATGATCAAAATGACTGAGACAGAATAAATGAAACAGATAACTAAATGACTTAAAAATAAATTTATTTTATTCTGTCGGCATATTGAAATCAATAATCAATCATTTTCAGACTACCATTAGAAACCTGGAAGCACTGAAAGACGGCCGTTTTGTCCTGGTAAGTCACCGATCAGCAGTGGGCATCCACGACTCCTGCACTTCACAGGATTCGAACCTGGGACCTTCGGCCTTGCGCGCAAGAACCTAGCCTCTGGACCACTAGGCTGGCATCCAACGGTGTTAATGTCTGACTCCGATCAATCTACAGATTTTGCGCGACCTCACCCATTTTTCTTTGGTAGTTACTGCCTACACCTGACAGGGTTGAAATATTTATTGTTAGAACTCAAAATTATTTCTCCCGATTTTAGTCACCTTTTTCTTCATATTTAAATATAACTACCAATAAATTCATTATCGCTTTGTTATGTGTTTTCAGTAAGTTGGATTACATTATCTAAAAGTTACTAAACTATCTCTTTCTTTTTCAGATTTATTCACAATGGTGGTGTATAACAAAATGATTCATTCATGATTTCAAGATAAATACTATCATCTCCATTACATATTAAATGAAAAATTATTCATTATAATCTGTTATCCTGATATTAAAATCAAAGAATTTCTAAACAAAATTTATGTAACGAGATTGGAAAAGAGCTTTAAGAAATATCTACCCTTAGATGGTAATTGCTCTTCTATATTCTAACTTCTTTTAATAAGTTGATGTAAGTTTAGTCGAAAGCCACCAACCAGAAGATACAAGTATTAATGAACAATTGCCTACGCAAAATACTTCGGATTCGTTTACCAGACACCATCAGCAACAACATACTGTGGGAGAGAACAAACAAGATTCCGGTGAAGGAGGAAATCAGGAACAAGCGGTGGAAGTGGATAGGAGACACACTACGAAAAGCACCTAACTGCATCACAAGACAAGCCCTCACTTGATACCCTCAAGTTCAAAGGAAAAGAGGAAGGCCGATGAACACCTTACGCCGAGAAATAGAGAAAGATATGAGTGGAATGAACAAAAACTGCAAAGAACTAGAAAGTGAAGCACAGGAAAGAGTTGGTTGGAGAAAACTGGTTGGCGGCCTATGCTCCATTGGGGTTAACAGGCGTAACTAACTAAGTAAGTAAGTAAGCATAGTCAATGAGATTGTTTTGCGATGAGTCTTTTAATTCGTCTTAGTCTTATCAAACCAGCCAACCATCATTCTTAGTCGACTTAACAAAATTCAATGTAACTGAAGAATATGAAGTTAAATGAATGAAAAAAAAACTAATTACTCAGTAATCTAAAAGGGTATTAAAAGCACTAAAATATATAGTCTGTCTTACGAAGATCTCATCGGAACTGCTTTTTAAAGAAATTTGGAAAAACTAAATCAAGAAATTCATGACAAATTAAAGTATGTCATAGAGGTAATTCACTAAAGAGAACAACTTTCTTTATGTGAGGTAAATTACATTTAGAAAACAATGACAGACAACATTATGCTACTTAGTTAATCTAGTTTTAAGGAAATCATTTAAAAAACGCTAACCAGTAATTATTCATTCATGTTTATATAATGCATACTTCTAGCTTGATTATTAAGTTAGTCTACCAT